CCTGATCGATCCAAGTTTCCTCGATTGATCCAGTTTTCCTTTGGATCGATCACAATTCTATACTTAAAAAAAAATTTTGAGCCTCTAAAAAATCATTTCTCTATCTATCGTTCGAAGCTGTCTGCAGACTTCAGGTCTTGGATCGATCGAAGTTTGATCGATCATTCTTCGATCAATCAGGGTTGTTTCTACAAAATAATAATAATAATAATAATAATAATAATAATAATAATAAAATAATAATAAATAAATAAAATTCAAAGTGCCATTCCGTCTTGCTAGAGACATTAAACTTAGCACCCACATGACACGTGTCTTTTATCTCTTGTATCATACATGTTCATGTTCATTTTTATTTCTTTATTTTTCTTGCATTTTGTTTCATTGTACATACTTTCATCTAACAAAAAAAGAACATTTCACCATTGTGCCCTTGTATGTCTTCATGCTTCCATGCTTGGTGTAGGGCTTGCTCTCTTATCTCTTACATCTTGTGCTATATTTCCTTAGAGTGTATCATTTCATTAACCTCTTATTCCATTTGATATTTAATATGTGCTAGTGTGGTTATTTAAATAGGTTATTGATTCCAAGTTTGAGGATGCACTCTTTCCCAGTGGATTACTACCGGGCTTTATGTCTTTACCACCACGGTATATTCTTTCTATCTTTTCCATTGTTCTCGTTGCACATTGAGGATAATGTGCGGTTTAAGTTTGGGGGTAAGGTGACTTTGTTGCATTCTACTTAAGTTTGAGACTTAATTGCATGATTGAGATTTGAGATTGATGTTAGTTATAATTTTGATCTTTTGAGGACTATATTGCTTAGAATTTAAAAATTGCTTGACTTGAGAGTCCAATACTCCTTGTATGCCTTGTGGATGCAATTTAGGAGTAATTTCGAAAGATTGATCTCATACTTGCATTTGTGATCCACATTACCCTGATTTTGTGATTGCTTTGAGATTCATTCTAGGATTCTACACTAGCACAGGCGCACACTAGCATTCATTTGTGGGGTACATGCTTTGTTGATTATTGATTTGGTTATATCCCAATTGAGCTAGTAGTGCATTGAAAGCTTTCATTCTTGATAAAGGTGGATAACAACCCTTTTTCACTAAGTAGCCAGGATTCTAGTCTCATCAAGCACTGAATTTCTCATGCCGAAAGGTGGAGGGCCCAAACTCTAGGTTAATAATTTAATAACAACAAAAAAAAAAAAAAAAAAAAAAAAAGGTTTGCAAAAGCAAATAGGAGTGGGAAATGAATAGATAGAGGTTGTTTTGATTTGTAACCTAGTCGATTTGAGCTTGTAAGTCGTTAGGGGTATTTGAACACCTAATGCCCTAAAGCCATCCAGTTTAAGATTCATTGACCTAACGCTAGATCTCATAGATCGCTAGAAAGCTTAATAAATCAACACATTGCACCATGCTTCCATCTTTGATCCTTTAGGATAAAAAAAAATAAAATAAAATAAAAAATTGAGTGAAAAGAATAAGCGCACCTAGATCAATAAAGTTTTAATAAAAGGTCAACTCTTTGTCTTGATGATCGGTACTAGATTTGTGTGCTAGTTTGAGGGTAAGGATGTGGTCATTTCTTTAGTTGGCTTAGATAACAACATATTTGATGCCGGTTCATTTAAAAAGGATTCTAGAGTTATTTTGATTTGCATGATCATTATCTTGATGTGTGGAGGATGATACTTGCTTGCTTGATATTAAAATTTTGAGAGATTGCAAAATTGTATATTTGAGGTAGTTTTCTCCGAATGCTTGTTTGGAATATTAGTGTCTCTTTAGAGAGAATGAGCTTAATGTTTGTCAGTATCATTTCTGGAAACCCTCACGAGACTTCACTCGTCCACTAGGGGTAATTTAGAGGTTTAAAAGGCTTGTTACATGTGCTAAATACAATCTTGTTCCCTACGAAAGTAGCATTATCTATTTATTGCTTTCTAGTTCATAGTTGTATAGTAGTTCATTTTTTTTTTTTTTCCCTTGTAGGTCATTGCTAGGGACTAGCAATATTTAAGTTTGGGGGTGCAATAAACGCTGAAAAGTGTGCATTTAAACCCCTTAAGCTTGAACATTCTAAAACTTTATTCTATCTTATTTTTCCGTTTTAGTCTAATTTCATGTTATTTACCTTTTCAGGCACTTATCCCCAAAATAAGTCAATTTAGCTGAATTAGAGTATAAAAAATGCAATCTCAAGCTTAGTGGAAGAAAGGAGTAAAGTAAAGGCAAAGTGGTGAAAAATAGCTTTCTTCGATCAATCGAACCAAGCTCCGATCGATCACACAGTGATCGCTCCGACCATGCCATGATGGATTGAGCCTTTTGTCCTTATCTTTAGCAAAATATCTTCTTTGATTGATCCAACATTTCCTTCGATCGATCGAACCCCTTTGATCTTATCCTCACCTACTACTTTGTCATATTCCCAAAAATATCTCAGCCTTGTCATTATCCAAAAAGTACGCCGCCAAGGTTCGATCGATCCAAGCAACCTCGTGATCGATCGAACTGCCTCAAGTTGCGTGAAAAGTTAATTTCAAGCCAAATTAAATGTGTGCTCGTGGTGCAATCATTTAAAGGTCCTAGTGCACAAGGACTGACCATGGGTGTGACCTTTGAGCTACCTATATAAGGATCTTGACTATTTTGAGTAGGAGAGGTTGGTTAGTTAGAGAGACTTGGCTAGAGATTAGAGAGAGAAATACACAAATTAGGAAAGTTCTTCCTCTCATCTAGGGTTTTTACCAAGGAGGAAGATGAGCTCTACCATGGAGATAGCCCTTGAGGGTTGGATGACAACATCAATGAGTGGCTAAACCATCTATTGGGGCTAGAGATAACCCTAAGCATGCCTCATAGACTTTGATGTTTTGTAATTAATGGGGATTAGTGTTGTAATTCTTGTTTTAACTTTTGATATAAATATATAAATCTTGTTTCTATAATAATTTGTGTTGTTTAATACTTCTAATATATCATTTAATTCTATTCATATGTCTATGTATGCTAGAATAGATGTTCATGTGTTTATCTCTAGATTTTGTGACATTGATGCATGTCTATGTGTGTTGATATTGTGAATCTAGTGATGGTCAAGGCATGGTGCTTAAATAGAATACTCCTGTAGTTAATTTGATGGTTCATACTTATTTTTTGATGGGTTGTGCCACAATCTTAGTTTAATTAGTTTAATTTTCATGTCACTAGTTTTGTTGTAGTGTAGTTGCCTTACTTTCTTAGATAGGTGAATAATCCATTCTTGTTGTTTGATATTCCATACTTATGAATGCAAGTAGTATATTTCTCTAATTTGTTGAGTGTGCATTGATTTTGGGCTTATGGAAAGATTAATGGCTTAATTTGATATGTTATGTTATTCACTAGATTGGCTAGACAACGTATGCTTACTTGGCTATCCATGTTAATATTTCAATGAATGGCACACACTTTCATTTACAACACATAATCCCTCTATTCCATCAAATATTGAATATCTAGGAAGGTAATACTTAGTGGTGAACTCTATGACCCAAGACTTCTCTCTCTTATTCTCTATACCTTACTTACTTTAGTTGTTTTCCATTTCATTTATTTTTCTTAAATTGTAGTTTAATCCAACCAACAAACCATCTTTTGATCATTCGACCTACTAATCCGACCTTGATTTCCAAGCAAAGATACACTTCATATCCCTTGAGACGATCCCTACTCACTCTTGCTATATTTTAGTTAGTAATGGTAGTGGCATTCTATAAATTTAAACTTACCCACTCTACACCTTTATTGCAACTTTGGTGTCCACTGCGATAGTCGCACACCATATTTTCTAATAAATAAATAAATAAAATTCTCTATATGTAGTACTTTTTGTTTGTCTCTAAAAAAAATTCCTTCTATTTAAAGGGACTTAATGGTATTTTCTTGTGTAAGCTTAGTGTGATCTTAAATTCTTCATTTTTTTTATCCTCTTTTAATAATAGCTTCCTCATAAATGTCCTTTTGTAATTTTAACATCCAAAACCAGAGTAGTTAACACCAATTAAAGCTTACTTCTAGGTTTTGATGAATACATGGCTGCTGAAGAATGGGAGAACAAAGTATGGTTTGTATGGGATTTTGTAGTTCATGTACTTAGAGGTTGTGAGAGCCTTCTCTAGAGGAAACCCACACTATTTTATGATGTAATCGAGTGTGAATGAGTATGGAATTGAAGTGTCAGAGATAAATTTTAGTGTTGAAGAAAATGCAGTTTCTGGGTTGGTGAAGTTGATACAACAAACAAAGATTTTAATATGAAATTAAACATAGACAATGCTAGAAGGGACTCACCTGTAATCTTGTTGCAAAATTGGACATTCTTCCCCAAAATCCTGCTTTTTGTTGTTCTATGTTCGAAACCCTTACTTGAATTTAGGGTTTCAGAGTTAGTGAAGTTGATACAACAAACAAATATTTTAATATACACCTGTGATCTTGTTGCGAAATTCGACCTTCTTCCCTAAAATTGTGCCTCAAGCTTTTTTTGTTCTCTGTTCCAAACTCTTGCTTGAATTTAGGGTTCTTTGGACGGGAGCCCCCTCTTTGGCCTTTTGTTTTGTTTAGGGTCGAATTTTGGATGATGACTCATCCATTTTAATTCCCTATTTCCTTTTTTTAAGCTACTTTGTATAAGTTAACAGAAGGAAAAACACTAAAATAAAAAAAGCCATTTTCTATGATTATAATGGAGCCCACTTATATATTATAAATACAAATAGATGTGGCCAAAATAAGGCCTCAAAGCATCTCACTGGAGGAACCTTATGAGAATCAACTTCAAAGGATTCGCGGCTGTCAAAGCTACTTTTGATTAGGACAACTATTTGGTATCAGAAGTCGGATTGAGTGTCATCATTACTCTAAAAACTACTGTATATACACGCACTCTACGTACATTACGGTACTAGCTACGCAAAGTTCTTTTAACCACGTTACATCGCCCAAATAGCTTACTTCCTCACAGGACATTTTCATATCTACCCAGAATACCCCCCATACGCACCAGAAGTCTCTCTCTACAGAGGAACAAACATTACAATGGCGTCTCCAACGGCTAGAGTGTCGTTCCGCATAATACTGGCCCTTCTGGTAGTGCTCGTTCTCTTCTACGTTGGTCGTCCTCTCTACTGGAAAATCTCTGCCACTATTCACGACATCCAACAAAACAAACAAACCGTTAGAGGAGGTCCCCTTTCCTCCTCTCTCCCCCTCTCTCTCTACATACTATTTTGCATTTTGATCTGAATCTAGTCTTTCTTATTGCTCTCTCTATTGTTTCCAGGTATATCTCAGATTGTTCTGGAAGCTCAGAAAACGGTGGGGTGGTTCCACGACGAGTCCGATTCCGGCGTCCGTGACAATCGCAGCGGAGGAAAGGCTGCGGCTGCTAGGAGGATTCTTCGTCAGGTTTTGTGGACGAATTAATTTCACAATTTATGTTTATTTATCACTGTATTGTAATTGAATGATGCAATGTGAGTTCTTATTGATCGTGTAGATCTGGATAGTTTAATTGCAATAATGAGAAATTGTTATGGTGTACTCGATGAATTGCTGAATCTACAGATTTGGGTATATGGTGTCTTGATCCCCATGCTTGGGTACATGGAAAATTGCTTTTCTTACAGAATTTCTGTACAGAAATTTCATGCCGACAGGCTGAGTGGCATTCTTGTAAATATCGCAAATGCGGTGCCTGATTGTCACAGCCAAAAAAAATTGCTGGAATCTATATTCTTCTTATTTTTTTTCATTTTTTTTGTTGGGGAGCAAGATTGTCACAGCCAAAAAAGTGATTTTATACTAGTTACTGTGAAGTAATTATTTTGATTTTGGTAGGAAAAGTTTTAAGCAATTTCTGCTCTTAAAAGTAAGATGAATATTTTTAAGTACTTTATTTGCTTTTGAAAGAAAAAAGTTAAAAGCAGTTTTTCCTTTCAAAAGCAAGAACAATAATAATAAAATGATAACAACCATATATAGTATGCATTATATTTTTCATTCGCATAAGTGATGAAAGTAAGATAGTGAGGAAGGGAGGGACAAAGGGAGGTCAGTAAATTCAGCTTTTAAGCTCAATGTATTTTTATAGCAACTGTCCCTGCTTTTGTGGGGATGCAAGCATGTTAGAGATGATACAAATCAATTCAGAGATCATTTGATTAGTAGATGGCCTTTTTCTTTTCTTTCTTTTTTTTTTTTTTTTTTTTTTTTTCTTTTTTTGTGTGTATGTGTGTGTGTGTGTGTGTGGCTCTTTTTAGAAAATAACATGTGAATTCATTTTGCCCCTTTGAAGACTTGAACTCTCAACGTTCAACGTTGGTAGGTAGAGGAGATACCACTAGGCTATAACCCTCTGGTGGTGGTTTTTGCAGTTTCTAGTTGCTGTTATTTTGGTGTATAATTGACCCAAAACAGAGTTATCTTTGAGTAGTTTCATACTTGTAAGTAGTAAGAAGAATTTTTTGTTTAAAATTTGTCTAGATTAGCCAGATTGTCTGGCTTCCATGATAAATTGGGTTGCTTGGAGAATGCAAGGGCATGTTTTGTTTAATTTTGTAAGAATTGTTTTCTGTTGTCAAAGAATAGAAAATAGATTACAATAAGAAATTCGTTTTATTTACATCATTCTGAAAACTATACTCTGTCAATAGAATCAAAAGAACACCTTAAAAGTGTTTTGTACTTCTGAAATACTTAAAAGAAAATGTTTTCATAGAATTGAAACAAACAAGCCATAACAATTACTTCTTAATTTTCTATTGAATTTTATTTAGTTGGGCAAAAAGTTTTAATTGTGCTTCAAAAAGCAGGCTGCACCTTGGTATAATTTACAAAGTTATACAAAAGTGAGGTTTTGGAATATTAAAGATAAAAGTGTAAAATTTTATCATAGTCTCTTTATGAAATATAGGATGCAATAAATTAACTTATCCAAACTTATGTTCGTGATGCATCTTTTGATGAGATGTACCCTGTTGCTATTTCGCTACTCTTAATCCAGTGCGTTTTCATATAGGATTTCTGTTCCTTGATTGTTTTAGTTGTAGCTCAAACCCTTCAGTTTTAGTTTTATTGATGTTTTAGGTATATCAGTCATGTGTTAGCAATTTCCAACTCAAAACTTGGGTTGTAGTGTGAGTCAATGTTGTGAGTTGTTTGCCTACAAGTTGATGGAGATGAAGTTCAGCAAAGAACACACCGGGAACCTTTCGAGAGTCAATTACATATCTAGGTTAAGGCAAGTTGAGATCATAGAGACCAATTATGAGTTAGGTTTAATCTTTAAAGTGCTCAAAGTTATGTTATAAAAATTTCAGAAAAATGTTTTGAAATCAGAATGCCCCTCGATCGATCGACTTTGAAAGGTCATCAACTTGTAAACACACTTTTTAAAAAGTCAACTTGTTGAACAAAAATGTCACCAACTATAACAGTTTTTATTTTTGCATATGCAGATTTGTATATTATGTCAATTTAAACAAAAAACAAAGGTATTTACCAAAAACACACACACACACACAAAACAGACAGAAAAAAATTGTATTTATGTTTTTTTATTGTTTCCATGCACACGAGTCTTTTGAGTTGTTGAATAACATAATGAAACTGAGATTAAAACACAAACGACACATATTTAATATGGAAATAAGTGTTGAAATTATCTTTGGGAATAATTTGACATTTAGTTGATTTACTTCTCTTCCTTTAGATTTTGACTCAGTGTAGTTTCACTTATATACATGAGCCCACTAAAGAGTTAATGTTTTGGTTTGCTTTGACAAATATATGTGTTATCTTGGGAATTGTGGGATTTAAGATGACCATAGACATGGCAAAAGACCAAGAAAAAGGAGATTACAAAATGATAAGATTGCATCAGTTGGAAAAGGAAAGAAATATATATATATATACACAAATGTTGATGCCTTTTAACTTTGAAAAGGGCTACGTATGGGATTTGTTCAAAGCTACCAATACAAAAAGAAAGTAAAAGAAAAATAAAAAGTAAATAATGTTGTCTTTGGAAAGAAATGGCTGCCCATTAGTGTGAAAGCTGTCGAGGTTTGGAGAATATAAAATAAAAATTTATATGAGAGAAATCAAAGGAGCATGTTTAATATATTATTTAATTTATCCGTTTTACATGATAATTTGGTTTGTGTTAATGAATGTGATTCTTGATGACTACGATTATTGAGTACTATGAACTTTTGTTGTGACTCAACTCATTATGGTTGATTATTAAGTTCACTTTTACACATAAGAAAATTAGGCTGAAAATCTCTGTGACGATTGAAAAGTGAATTAAACTTGTTGAGATTTTCTATGTAGATAAAGTTAGATGCTTTGCTCTATGTTATTTATGAAGTCATGTGTTGTGGTCAAAGTGGATTTATATTATTCAATGACGAGAAACTTCAACTGTTGCATGAATAGATCTTTAAAAAAAAAAAAAAATTAAAAAGAAGGAAAAAGGAAGAAGAAAATATTTACTGTTTTCAGTAATATTTAATTCTGTTTATTTGCTTATTTGTCTCTTCTAAGTGTTTCTCTTTATCATTTTGTCAATTCGGTAACAAAAAAGGGGAGAAAAGATAACTTTCTTTTTGGTTAATAAATTGAAGGGAGAGATGTTTTGAGCTTTCTGACCCCAAGTAGCTGGAAAAGACTTGGTTGTTGTTGCAGTTGTAGATGTTTTGAGCCTTGTGATGTTATAAAGCCTTGATATGTATGTTTTATGCTTTTTTTGTTTTATATATCATGTTTTTATAGTTTTTTTCTTGGACAAGATTATGCTTGGGAATGTTTGTGTATTGTAGGCAACAAAAGGCATGATCTTAAGTTTATCAGGCTCAAGTGATTGAACAGATTTTTAGTCTTTTTATTTTTTATGAACTATGTATATGTACTGTTTAAGTTTTGTTTTGACATTGCCCAAGGGGGAGATTGTTAGGTATATGAATCATGTTAGCAAATTCCTACTCAAAACTTGGGATGTAATTGTCTACAACCTCAAAAGATGATGGAGATGGAGATTAGCGAAGAATGCATGAAATCTCGCAAGCAATGTTGTTAAAGGCGCGTCTAGGCACGCCTAGGCTCAAGGCGTAGGTCTAGCTCCCGTTGTCATCCCAGGTTCACTGATGTTTACTAGGCGCGCGTCTTAGGTGCGCCTTGTCTTGTTTGTCAAGCCTAGGCGCGCCTCAATGATTTTTTTTTAAAACTATGATTATTCTATTTCTTAAGCCAAAAAGGATATTTTTGGCAACATAAACAAATCAGAAAGACCAAGTGTACGAGATAAGAAACTTTGGTTCAAAAGAACAAACAAATAAGAAAGCCCAAGTGTCAAACTGTCAACCGAAGAGAAAAAGAGTGAGACCGTGAGATGAACGACAAAGTCACGTTAGTTCTTTCTTCTTCTTCTCTCTCTTCTCCTCTACTTGTCTCTCCTCTCTACTCCTCTACTCCTCTCTTCTTATCTTTGTTTACATCTCTCTCTTCGTCTAGTTCTCTTCTCTCTCTGTCTTTTTTTTGGGGGGGCTCGGTTTTTTCTCCTTTTTTTCTTTAACACTTTCTCTCTTCTTGTCTACTTTTCTTTCTTCATTTACTTCTATCTCTGCATCTTTTTTTTTGGCTCTGTTTTTTCTGTTCTTTTCTTGTTAACAGATTTATTTTTTTTTGTTAATAGATTTATTTCTTTTTGTGCTCTCTTTTGCCATTCAAAAAAACAAATCCTGCTTTGCCTTTCAAGAAAACAAATTTGTGCTCTATTATATGATTGTTGGATGCTTGTTTAGTTGATGGATTTTCTTTTTTATATTTGATATTAATTTTTAGAGTATTGATATGACTTATAAGATATGAATATTTTTATGGTAGTTTAAATTTTCAATTGTGTGCCTTACTTTACTCAGGCACGTGCCTCGCTGTTCACCTCGCGCCTAGGCTCTAAAGGACCTCTAGCGCCTTGGTGCACCTTGAGCCTTTAATAACACTGCTCGCAAGACTCAATCACATATCTAGGTTAAGATAAGATAAGAGCATAAAGACCAATTATGACCTAGGTTTGATCTTTAAAGGCTCAAAACTACATTTTATTCCTATTTATCAAAATTGTGGTTTTTGATGGAATGATTTTCAAAGAAGGATTTTTACAAAAAAGGGCTCTTCAATTGAGTGGTTGATCAATCAGATATTTGCAGAAAAATGTTTTCAAATCCAGGATGCCTTGACCGATGTGTTGATCGATTGAAGTTATGGCATTGAGTGTCGGCCAAAGGCTTGATCAATTGAACCTTGCAGAACACTTTAATGAAGACTCTCTCAATTTAGAATCCTAAAACATTGTGCTTAGCATACATGGCTCTTTTAAAAAGCTTTGAGAATCATCTACGCTTCTTCATAAATGACAAAAAGCAAGGAGCAGAATTCACTAGTGGATATCAAAAGTCCATAGAGGAGCAAATTGCTTGAGTGTGTCTGTCGATGGATTAGCAGCCGGAGGATCTGGGGGAGATCTCAGTCTCAGACGGAAT